CCTCGGGGCGTCTGAGGTAATCTCGCTGTTACTGCCCTCGGGGCGTCATCACAGTGGGATTCTGGTTTTTCTAACGTCATGTTTTCACTCTGTGTGTCTCTCTCTCTGGGGTTATAACCCCCCCCACAGTTACTGCTGTTCCCATGCCCCTGACTGCAGTACGGCCTGTCTCTGTAGCTGCTTCGTTATCTGCACCCACCCTGGGACCACGCATTCGAGGACCTCCCCCACCGCCCGGCGAAGAGAACAGAGAGGTAACTAGATTGCGCACGTCACAAACAGGCCATTCTGCCTGTCCTTTCTGGGCTAGGCCCCTAGTTAAGATCTCCCACACAAGTGTCGGATCTTCTCTCCATCTAATGAAAGATTTAGACTTTGAAATGGACTTCGGCATCTCCCCACCACCTGCTTCAGGGCAGTAAACCCTGGGCTGACTGGCAGTGCCCACACCCCAGGCACAGTGCAAAGAAAGAACTACACAGTCCATCACTGTGTGAGCGGTGTATATCTTAGCCATGTGCTGCACTGTTGAGTGATCCTTTCGTACTGTAGCCATTGAATGTGTGTTGTTGTGTGAGAGCGATGGTTTCTGCCCCGAGGGACCTGTGATGGGATCCCAGATATCAGTAGCTGCCTCATCTGGTGCTGCAGGGGTATCTCTCACAGATTCTGCAGCTCAGTAATGAACGGTTCCTTTTTACACAGAATGACGATGGAGGTCCTGGTCCGAGAATTCCCCAAGTCCTGGAGAAGATCCTGCAGCTCAAGGAGCAACGTCAGGTGGAGCTCACAGCTTCAACAGAAGCTTCAGGTATGTCAGTGAGGTGTATAAATGTAGAGGGAGCTTTACTGTGTATCCAAACCATAGCAGTTGCCATCCTGGGAGTGTTTGATGAGGAACAGTATAGAGGGAGCTTTACTCTGTATCCAACCCTGTGCTTTCCTTGTCCTGGAAGTGTTTATGGGGGTGACAGTGTAGAGGGAGCTTTACTTTCAGTTTTAAAAAGTCTAGGGGAAAATGGGAAAGACCAGATGTAATTTGGCTGGTTACACAGTGAATCGGTGGAGGAAAGTGTACTGCTTCCAAATGAGCGGGTACCTGCTTATGTTTCCACAGACGATGGCGAGGCAACAGTTGGAGCCACTTTGACACCGGCTGATACTGAAGAGGATGAGATTGTGTCCTCACTGTCGAAGAAAGAGGTATGTGATGGTACGCTGTTACCTCTCGCTTGTCCTGCGATTATGTGCGAGCCTGATTGTGTAATCACCGCGCTCTCTGTATTTGACGCTGGCTGACTGGGTAACTTACTGTGTAGCCATTCCGCTTTGGAATGCTCTGGGTCTGAGTCGCACTAGACAGAAATTTGACCGTCTCTCAGCTTGACATTGGGTGTGCTGAGGGCTCACAACACTGTCCCATTGTGATGGACTGAGGGAGTGCCAGGACATGCGAGGAGTTCGGTAAAACTTGAAGTTGTTTTGTTTGTATTTTGTTTTGCGGCCCAAGTGAGAATTTCAACGTTCTTCCATTTCTCCAGAGAAATCGTAAACGTCGGAACAGAAAGAAGAAGAAGAAATCAAACCGAAGCGAGGTGAATGGAGTTCAGAAGAAAGAGGAGAAGCCACCAACAGTGACAGACACAGAATCGGAAGTGGAGGTGGAGTATGTGACTGCAGAGCCAGAAATCTTTGACACAAACTTCATCTACTTCAAAAGGATCTTCGAGACATTCAGGGTGAGGAGCTGCTCTAGTTCAGTGGCTGGGCTGATGGGGATGTGCTACAAGGAGGCAGTATCAGTGGAGGACCAAGAACACTAGCGATGTCTGATGGCTGCCTTTTTATGTGTTTTGTTTTTGTAGCTGACGGACGATGTGAAGAAAGACAAAGACAAAGAGCCAGACAAAGCGGACAAGCTGGAGTCAGCAGTTCTGCTGAAGAAGAAGGGCTTTGAGGCAGAGCAGAAAGGGAGCAGTGATGAAGATGAGGATGTTGACAGTGATGAGGATGTGGTATGTTTGCTGACCTATGGGATTCATTGGGTATATCGTTCATCAGTACCGGTCACAGTGACACAGCACCAAGACTGACTGTCCAGGGAGCGCCGCGCTGAGGGAGGGTCAGCGCTGAGGGAGCGGGCACTGTCGGAGGGTCAGCGCTGAGGGAGCGGGCACTGGCTGAGGGAGTGCCACACTGTCAGAGGGTCAGTGCTGAGGGAGCGCCGCGCTGTCAGAGGGTTGGCGCTGAGGGAGCGCCAAGCTCATCTGTAACTGTGTCCTTCCTGTCTGTCAGGAAAAACGGGATGATCTCCCAAAGTTATCGAAGAAGAAATTACGGAGATTGAATCGTTTGAGTGTGGCTGAACTGAAACAGGTGAAGTGAATATTTGGTTTCCGTCTCGCTGCAGAGTGAGTGAGTGAGGGCACTTGGAGGGAAGTGGGTCAGGTGTGGGCTGTTGTGGGTTTGTTAACAGCCCCTTTTATGGTTGGCAGCACTCTCTCTCTCTCTCTCTCTCCCCCCACCCGCTGTGTGGAGAGGTACAGTACAGGTAGAGAAATGAATGTAAGTCTGGTAACAGGCCCAGGAAGTAACTGAAAAGGCTAATGGACTGTTTGTTGCACTTTATCTCGAAGAGGCTCCACACCACAGGCTGGATGTTTTGTCACAGATCCCAAGTTCAGTCTTGGGCCTTTGTGGGGGTTTGGGGGGAGCTGGGGTGGTTGGGTCCAGTTGATGAAGGTGGGGGGGACAAACCTTTGGGTGGGGGTTTGAGGGAGGAGGGGGGGGGATGGGGGGGGGGGGGGCCAGTTCCTTTGAGTGGGGTCGTGTATTAAAGGGTGATTGAATCGGAGTTTGAGATGATCAAGGGATTCGATCAGGTCACAGGCAGTATTTGCCCTGGGCTTGTGGTTGGTTGGGGTGGTGGGGGTATTGTCTGGAGCAAGGGGCCACATCCTTCAGATTCAACCTGACTGTTTGATGAGGGAGTGATGTCCGAGGGTAGGGAAGTTTGGAATTCCATCAGCCACTCCCTGCCCCCTCCCACAAAAACACCAAAAAACTGTTGAGGCGGGGGCAGTTAAGTTGGAAGGATGATCACGTGTTAATTGGGGTAAGGGTGGCTGATACAGATCAGGCACAGTCGAAATGAATGTTGGGACTGGCACAAGGGACTGGACTCCCTCCTGTTCTGACTAACCAGTTAAAGGTGTGCTGCGTCTGAATGGCCTCCACCCCGTCCCGTTTAACAGGCTTGAGGAGGGGCCTGAACGGCCTCCTGTTCCTGTGTCGCAGGCTTGAGGAGGGGCCTGAACGGCCTCCTGATCCTGTGTGACAGGTTGGAGGAGGGGGCTGAATGGCCTCCAGATCCTCTGTGAAACACGGAATAGAGAGTTTCAGGTCAGGCTCTGGAGGAGTTGGGGAAATTGGTGACTTTTCCCCTCTCTGTTACCGGCCGCTGCTGGGTGGCCATTCTGGCAGGAATGGGGTAGGCTGGGAGTGGGTCGGGGTGTGTGTGTGTGGGGAGGGAGGTGGAAACTGTTGTCCACTTGCTCACGCTGACCCTTGTCCCCTCAGCTGGTGGCACGCCCCGATGTGGTGGAGATGCACGATGTGACAGCCCATGACCCGAAGCTGCTGGTTCATCTGAAGGCCACTCGCAACTCTGTGCCCGTGCCCCGCCACTGGTGCTTCAAACGCAAGTACCTGCAGGGCAAGAGGGGCATCGAGAAGCCCCCCTTCGAGCTGCCCGAGTTCATCCGACGCACCGGGATCCAGGAGATGCGGGAGGCGCTGCAGGAGAAGGTAAGGCTGGGGAGGGACATGAATCTTGGAGACCTATCCCAGCGCCTCTTCAGTAAAATGTCAGAGAGTGAGATGGTTCGGGATGCATCACATGCCCGAATAGGCACTGTGCCCGCTCACTCACTGACCTAGAGGGCCAGTGGGGTGAAATACCACACCAGGGGAAGGGTTAGGGTCGATCAAGGGGCCAGGGTGGGGTCACGTAGAGTGGTCCTTGCTGTTGAGAGGTGGGAGGTGCGGTGACAGTGCCCAGTGCCAGCTTGAGATTGTGTGAGATGTGGGCACTGTGGAGGGTCAGTGATTGACGCCTCTCTCTCTCTCTTTCTCTCTATCTCTCAAACCTGCAGGTTTCCCTGAGCTCAGAGCCTGTCCCATGTCTACCACCAGAGGTCTCTGTCCTCCACTGATCCTTCCATACTTAGGCACCAGCCTCTGTCCCTGAGCTGGCTTTGCTTCGGGTAGAGGCAGGCCACTTAAAACCATGGCTCAGCGATCTCTGCCACTACCCAACACCCCCCACCCCAACCAAAAGAAAATTGGTCAACACTGACCCAGCTTCACAACTCCCACTCCCCGTGGTTTAAATGGAGACGGAATCCCAGAAGGTAACCCAGTTCCCACCACACACTCCCCCCAGCTTTGGGCTACAGATCACCCTGGGGATCCGAGATGCTGTGACCAACAAGTTCTTCATCTGCGTGTTATTGTTGGGAGCTGTGGACAGTGATAGGACACAGCAGGAATCTCTTCCCCCTTTTTACCGCCTGCCCACTTTGTGCGCACACGCACGCGGAGTCAATACTCGACTGTTTTGCTTGTGTTATTAACAAACCCTCTTTGTCCATCTGGTGCTGGAGTGGGACGTGAATCGAGAGTTTCTGAGACGGAGACAGGGACAGATGCTCCCCAGGTCCCAACAAAAGCGCCCACGGCTAACGATGTCACCCCGTGTCGCTCTGCTCCAAACCCTTTCTCGGATGGACATGGGATCAGCTCTGGCCTACACCTCTGGTTACTGTCAGCTGGGGGTGTGTGGGGGTAAAATCCGAGGTGGGTAACTGTGCACTGTAACCCCAGCACGTTGGAGGGATAAACAGCACCTTCTAAACGCTGCCTTTTGATGGTCCACAGGAGGAGCAGAAAACCATGAAGACCAAAATGAGGGAGAAAGTGCGCCCAAAAATGGGGAAGATAGATATCGACTACCAGAAGCTTCACGATGCTTTCTTCAAGTGGCAAACCAAACCCAAGCTGACCATCCATGGTGACCTGTACTATGAGGTAATACTCCTTCCTGCAAGAAACAGGGGAGGGACGAGAGGGCTACATCCCGCACTGTCCTTGTCTGCAATGGCTGTTTCATTTGGCTGGGAGCAGGCTTACAGCTTTCCAGGGTGTAATGAGAGTTCCAGGGCTCCAGGTCTTTCCACATGCTGTACTGACTGACCTCCGACTGTGTATACAGGAGCGAGAGTGAGTTTCCTGGGGAGAATCACTTAGTCGGTCACTGAGGGAGTGCTGTGCTGTCGGGGGTTGTTAAAATGGTATGAAGGCCCCTTAGGTGGACATTACTGATCCCGTGGGGTGGGGATGTGTGCAGGGATGTCATTAATATCCCTGTACCCATGTCCCCCAACTCTCAGCCAGTTTCCGGGGCAAGTATTTCACCCTCCAGTAAGTGATTTGGGTCATTCCCACTTTGTTATGTACGGAGCTTGCTGTGTGCAAACTGGCCTCTGTACGTATATTGAGTGTGAAATGAGGGACGTCCTGCACTGATGTGAAGTGCTAGAGGAATGGGTGGTGTTGATTTCCGGAGGTTGTCCCTCCTGTAGGAATTGATGAGTGTGCTGTATGTCATAAAGAGATTACAGCATTACCCCAGGCTGAATCTTATCTCGGCCAGGCAGATAGCAGTTGTAATGGTTGTGATGGGTTGTAGATTCAGGTTTGGCACTCTCCCTCTCTCTCTCTCTCTCCATCTCTCTCATTGCGCTACATGGTTCTAATTACTCCCTGCTAATCGGTTTATTGCGGGTTTGTGTTTCTGATGACAAAGCACTTTCCGCTGATCTGATCCCCAGGCTCATCAAGCTTCCCTGTGTTATATCTGTTTAGCGTTGTTGGCAATGTTTAAATTGTGTAACATTTGGATGCAGTTAATAAGGAGAGAGTATCTGATACTGAACTAGGGGAGACGGTGAAGGGAATCTGTTTAAAAAAAACCCAGAGGGAGGGAGATTTCATAGAATCCCAGTGTGGAAACAGGCCATTCGGCCCAACAAGTCCACACTCCGGAGAGCACCCAACCCCGTATTTCCCATGGCCAATCCTCCCTAACCTGCACATCTTTGGACTGTGGGAGGAAACCGGAGCAAACCCACGCAGACATGGGGAGAATGTGCAAACTCCACACAGACAGTCGCCCGAGGGTGGAATTGAACCCAGGTCCCTGGCGCCATGAGGCAGCAGTGCTAACCCCTGAGCCACTGTGCTGCCCCAGCAGCAGAGGAGAATGTTTTATTTGAAGCAGTGTGTTGTTGTGATCTGGGACGTGCTGCCTGAAAGTGCTGGGGGAGCAGATTCAATAGGAATATTCAGAAAAAGGGGGAATGTCAGGGAAACTGGAGAAGGAGGAATTATGCAGACAGCTGTGGAGGAAAGACAGTGGGAACGACTGAAGGGATATTTCAAAGAGCTGGGACAGGCTCAGTGGGCTGAATGGCCTCCTTCTGTGATTGGAATTAATTGGTGGTTGATCTCTGTGAGTAAGCAGGTTGGGAAGTGATGTGTCGTCGCTTTGACAGGCTGTGCTAGAGGAGTTCAGCAAGGTAACTTCGGAGTTCATGCTGTGTAGGTTATAACACCATCTAATGCATCCAACCCCCCCCTTCTCTGTGTGCTCAGTGACCCAGTCTCAAAATGTGACAATTTAAAATTAGTTTACAAGTATGTACTTGCACTCTCTTCCCCAAACCATCTTTAACTAACCCTCCCCGTCTCCGTACCCAGCCTCCAGTGCCTACACTTCTCCCCGTCTCCTGTCGCCTCCTCCGGCCCCGACGCCCCTCCCCGTC